TTGCCATTTAGCAAGCGGAAAACCGCCCGCCATGCACAAGCCTTTTAACTGATTTGCGCCTTCGATTAGTTCGTCAGGGCCATCAGCACCACCAAATATGTCGTCTACATATCTGGCTTGAGTTATGAATGGCACCGCCAACGGAAAGCGATTTCCTTCGTCTTCCGCGAGTTGTAACAGAGTACGAACAGCCAAGAATGGGGCTGCCTTGGTACCATAAGTAACCGTGGTGAGTTGATAACTTGCCTCATTGAGGTCTGAATCAACCCACAGAATACGTTGTAGGTCCCAATCCTCCTGATGCACACGAATTTGCCGATACATCTTTGTGATGTCTGTCGCAAAGATGCACTTGTATTGACGTATCCATAAGAGTACATCAGTGATATTTAGGAGTAAATTTGCCCCAGTGTGCATGATATCGTTAAGTGAGTACCCGGAAGTAGTGGTACTTGAGCCATTGAATACAACCCTCAGCTTGGTGGTTGTGCTGTCAGGTTTCAAGACTCCATGATGCGGTAAATAAAATGCCGCATGATCTTGAGATGATATTGACGGTGGTGCCTTCACCATATGATTGAGGATCTCATATTCCTTCATGAACTTTAGATAGAATTCACGATACTCGACCTGTCTCTTGATTTTTTCAAGAGTTCGCCGAAGGCATGCCCAAGCCTTATCGTATGAATTGCCCAATAGAGTTCGAGGCAACTTCAATGGGAGTCACACAATGTATCTACCAGATTTGTCACGAGAATGAGTGGCACGGAAGTGCGTCTCGCACTCCAGTTCCTCTGGAGTTAGTGACACTGGTGATTCAACAATTTCTTCTTCTGTCCAGAATCTGGTCAGCAATTCCTCCAATGAGGAGTCTCTGTCGGTTGACACATGACATGAAGAAACTGATGTTGTTGACTCTGAGTTAATTGGACCTAGAATTAGCCAACCGAAAATTGAAAGCTGGGCAATTGGCTTTGAGGGTGGACCGTGAATTATGTTGGACGTGATGATGAGTTCTTAAGAATCTGCTCCGATTATTATGTCAATCGAACTTGGAGTAAGATAGTCTGGATCAGCCAGAGTTAGATTTCTAAGATGCGGCCAATCCTGGTTAGGCGCACGAAATGACGGCAACAATGCAGTCAAGGTAGGAAGAATATGGGCTGATATCGAGACGCTTACCTCTCTGGTGAGTGATTCCACGGTGATTAACACCTTTCCTCTGGTGTGAGTACTCCGATTGCCACCAATGCCGATGATAGAGATGGTCGAGTGTGTGCGGGTAAGTTCGAGCAGTCTTACCAGGTCTTCACTAACAAATGTCAATTCAGATCCTGGATCGACGAGAAGACGTACTCGAAGAGTTGTACACCTGGAGTTGGCTCGTGCTTCCGCTGTTGCTAACAGCGTGAATTGCTGACGTGCTGAGTGCGGTTGCTCCGTGCAACCAAGAGACGTGTTCGTTTTGACGACTGCACCTAATCCTCAACGAGTTTGGTTTGTTGTTGCTGAGTCCTCTGGAATCGGATGTTGAGGTTGAGAGGCGGTCTTCTCCTGACCCGCCAACGGTTGGTGCAACATAGTATGGTGACGTCCGTCACAATGTTTGCACAGCAGCCGTGATTTGCAATAGCGTGATGAATGCCTTCCGCAACAATTGAAACAGAGCGCCTTTTTCTCTATTATATTTCTGCGTTCCAATGCAGGCATGCTACGGAATTTTACACATGTGACAATGAAGTGATTGCCTCCGCAACAATCACACCGATATCTTGGCTCTGAGGCTGACGATGATTGTGAGACTACGTGTGTCGTGGCCCGTTGTACCCTTGATCCGCTGCTTGATTTAACAGACGACGACGAACGTGAGTCTGAGTGCTCAATCTGCTTGAGAGCTTGGGCCTTGTTACGCAGAAACGTTTCGAGCTGTTGGTATCGTGGGTACTCCTTAGAGTTGTCCAGTGATAATTCCCAAGCCTCACGAGTTTGTTTTGGCAGCCTCTTCGTGGTGCTGTGCACCAAAAAGCAATCCCAGATGTTGGTGACTCCCATCGAGTTGAGTGTCTTCGTAACTTCCGATGAAGCGTCCAGCATCTGGTTGATTTCTGTAGATGTCCCTGCGCGTTCTATTGTGGATTTTGACCATTTCACCAGTTAGGCCTGGATGAGTGATCTTGGGCTGTTGTACCGATCGCTCAGGCTATCCCACGCCAACCTGAATGAATCTCCCTTGAGTGGGAAAGACTCTTCTACCAGCGCTGCCTCCTGCCGGACACTCGTCCTGAGGTAGTGAAGCCGTTGAATATTTGAAAGCCTTTGGTTGTTAATAATGAGAGATGCAAACATCTCTGAAAAGGCCGGCCAATCTAAACAACCTCCTGAGAAGATTGGCAACGAAATGTCAGGGAGTTTAGACTCGCTGTGCGATGCTTCGCCGGGCAGAGCTTCAAGTGGCAGAGCGAGGTTTGTTGGCCCTCCAACGTGGCCTTGATGTCTGAGCTTTGGAGTTTAATTGTGGTCATAGTAGATGCCTCCTGAGTGAATATGTCATCCTTGAAATAGTCATGGTCATAACATGATGCAGGCCATGACGATTCTATGACTGAATGTTCTCTTAGGAACTCCTGATGGACCTCGTTCACTTGACCAAGAATGACATTCACCTTGGCCAACGACTCCTCCTCCGCAGTCTTAGGGAGTCGGGCCCCCAATTGCATTAATACCGCGATACGGCTCAATTGAATTCGATATTTAAAAAATAGCTCAGATGACAAACCTGTAGGTGAGTTGGTCCGTGAACGCGTGCCTTGGTTCCTTTTGAATGGTGGGAACAGCTAGATGCGATGTAGCTGCGATTGTTGCGGGCTCCTCCTTGGGTGCTGGTGATACAGGCTTTGAGGAAACCTTCTCCTCAAGAGCGTTCTTGAAATTTTTCTCGCTTATGATTGTTCACACACGGACACGAGTAAAAGTTACGACGAAAACTGAGAAACACTGTCCGATTTTAAATCGTCCGAGTTGCGGAGATTTGATTGTTGCAGAAACTAGATTGTCACTTAGAATTATTCACACGCGAGTTGTTCAATAGAACTGTCTGACGCGAGCACAAGATGGCCGCTTAGAGTGTTCAAGATGGCCATGCCACGTGGCAACCTACTTCGAGGTGATTTTCGCGCACAACTGCACTTCAATTATTCTCGCGATCCGGCTCGAAGGACCAAAAAATGTTTGAGATGTACCGAGTTTGATTGCTGATTTCCGGATAGGATGTTGTGAATTCGCGATAAAATAATTGAGCACGTTGTGATGCTTAAAGCGCGTTTAATATATAAAAAAGAAATCACATTTACAAAAGTCGGTTGATTAAATATAGTGAGTGAACACGCGTCGCAGAGTTTAACCCGAGTTTTACCAAGCGTGATTGATTCACGTGATTGTTCCAATGATGATCACGATGTTATTGATCGTGACCGTTACACAGGAGTGTGATTTAAACTACCAAGATTCACAGAAACGCGGCCTGTGAAATTATATTAATCACACGGAATTTGAGTTCGATTGTCCCTTAGCGATAACTCAAAAAGAGTGAGAGTAACAGGATCGCGAGTACAAGAGATTTTAGAGTAAATCCGAACACGTCCGCACTGAATAACACCTTAATGAGCAGTAAGGATCGTTGGCCGTGATAAATGGCTGACCCTTCTTCCTGCGCAATCGATATTAGTAGCGCGTAGTGCGCATTGACGTGGTCCATCGTAATTGGTGCGATCGATCCTCGCATCGATCGCGATGATTCTAGAGTTTTCCTTCGAGTGCGCTTTTACCCTAGAGTTTCATGCGAGTGCGCCTTTGGCTTTATACCCTGAAGGCTCTTTCTCAAACACAAAGCGAGCATTCAAAGCTAGTAAAACAGACCCCTGCTTATTCATTCGAGAGAGAAATGCCGTTAATGAAGCGCCGTTTGTGCCATTCGATAGCATATAAAAAAAGAAACATTCACTCCAATTTTTAGCCCTATATCTCAACCAGGGGGGAAGTAATCGGGAAAATTCGAAAAATCAGTTTTTCGAGGCTTTTCCTTATTTAACGCGTTGCGAAA